CATTTCAATTCCGAGTCAATGGAGTTATTGTTGTTTTTGGTTTATATATATGTCGAAACCCCTTCCTTCTTCGAAACAATTAATATTCGAATCTATAAAACGGCCCGGACTGGCATCGACACCAAACAGCCAACAAAAGCAATAACAAATGAATGCATCCCTGAATGGTGGGGGGGGGATCCAGCAATTGAAAACAACAACAACAACTATATCCGCATCCAATTGTACAATTCAATATCTGTTACTTGAACACTGTCGTCTCTGGCATCTCTGTGATTTCAATTCAGTCACTTCGTCGGCCCCTCTGACCAGAAACAGAGTCCTCTCTCCTCGGCCTCCACCTTCAACCAGTCACCTACAATTTGCCAACCAGCGTGTTGGTTTTATTCCTCCTTTCCTTTTTTTGGGCCCAGCCACAGGGAACGACAACAGGAAGCCAACAATTCTCTGGAAGAGGATGCCATCATGCCATAAAAGGACCACCAGTGCCAGTGCAGCAGCTCCAGCAACAACAGCAAAAAACAACCCAATAAACCTTACATAAAACTGTCAAAAACATACACATGCAATAATTTACTTTAACAAATTTTTATATGCAGTGTTTGCCAGTGTGCTGGTGTGTGTGTGTGTGTATGTGCGTATAAGTGTGGTAGTGTGTGTGTGTGTGCGTGTGATGATGTGTTTTTATTTTTAAAGCCATAAAAGTGGGGAGACAATTTCCTCTTTCATTGGCATTTTTATAAAATAAAAATTCATCACCACAAAATTGATGTGAAAGGTCTAGCCAGGCTTGGGCCACAAGTGGGGAGATTTTGTATAAAATTTTGGGAAATTAAAAAAAAATTTCACAGGAAAATTATAATTCAAAATGCGGATTGAAACAACATTAATTTTAAATAATTTCAAAGAGTCACCACAACAAAGATTTTTGGAATATTTTGACAGGGGCCTAAAATAGGCGAATTATTTTTTTAAATATTTTTTTTTTTTAATATTTATTTTACCTATACTGCACATGGATTTAGAAAAAAAAAATATTTTTTTGGAGTCGAAAGGATTTTTTCAAGGATCGGTGGAAGACCATAAACTTGAAATTTTAATTTTTCTTTAAGGATCCTTACAAAACTTTAAATATGAATTTTTAAGGACTTTTCAGGTGTCCTGTCAATACCATATGCTGGGATTTTCAAGAAATTTTTTGAAGATCCTTACAAACCTATAAGTTATAATTTAAAATATTTTTTTAAGGATTTTTAGGGGATCAAAAATGTGGATTTTTTAGGGAACTTTTCAAGAGCACTTTAAAGGCTATAATCAAAGACATTTAAAAAAATCCAAGAACCTTTAGGGCTCCCAAAGTTAGAAATTCTGAAGCATTTCTAAAAGATCCTTAGAAGATTCGAAAGTGAAATTTTTCAGGAATTTTTCAAGAAATTTAGAAGACTATTGGCGTCGAATTTTAAAAGAAAATTTTCTAGGAAGGGTTTTAAGGAATATTCCAAGAATTCCCACGAATCAAGAAAGCCTGAAATTTTCGAGGATATTTAAGGATCTGTAGAATTTTTAATTTTTTTTTGCATCACCATAAACGAAGGTTTTTAAAAAATATTCCAAGAATTCTCACGAATTAAGAAACCTGAACATTTTCGAGGATATTTAAGGATCTGTAGAAATTTTAATTTTTCGTTAAGTTGTCTTACAAGACTTAAAATATGGATTTGTGAAAGATTTTTCAAGTGTCCTGTCAATACCATAAAGTTGGTTTTTTGAAGGAATTTTTAGAAGATCCTGGCAAACCTATAAGTTATAATTTTAAATATTTTTTTAAGGATTTTTACGGGATCAAAGATGTGGAATTTTTAAGGAACTTTTCAAGAGCACTTTAAAGGCTATAATCAAAGACATTTAAAAAAATTTTTCCAAGGACCTTTGGGGCTCCCAAAATGAGAAATTTTGAAGCAGTTCTAAAAGATCCTTAGAAGATTTGAAAGTGAAAATTTTCAGGAATTTTTCACGAAAAATTGGAAGACTATTGACGTCGAATTCTAAAATAAAATTTTCTAGGATCCTTGTACCACCAAAAACGTAGGTTTTTAAGGAATATTCCAAGAATTCCCACGAATCATGAAAGCTTAAAAATGTCGAAGATATTTAAGGATCTGTAGAAATTTTAATTTTTCTTTAAGGTTCCTTACCTTAAAATTGAATTTTTAGGAAATTTTTGGAGGATCCTTACAAAACTATAAATTTTAATTTTGAAATGATTTTTCAATGATTTTACGGGATCAACGATATGGAATTTTTAAGGAACTTTTCAAGAGTAATTTGATGGCTATAATCAAAGACATTAAAAAAAATTCCAAGGATGTTTAGGGCTCCTAAAATTAGAAATTTTGAAGTATTTCTAAAAGATCCTTAGAAGATTCGAAAGTGAAATTTTTCAGGAATTTTTCAGGAAAATTTTCTAGGATCCTTGTACCACCAAAAACCAAGGTTTTTAAGGAATATTCCAAAAATTCCCACGAATCAAGAAAACTTAAAATTTTCGAGGATATATAAGGATCTGTAGAAATTTTAACTTTTCTTTAAGGTTCCTTACAACACTTTAAATATGGATTTGTGGAAGACTTTTCATGTGTCCTGCCAATACCTTAAAATTGAATTTTTAGGATATTTTTTGAGAATCCTTACAAAACTATAAATTTTAATTTTGAAATAATTTTTCAATGATTTTTACGGGATCAGAGATGTGAAATTTTTAAGAAACTTTTCAAGAGCACTTTGAAGGCTATAATCAAAGACATTTAAATAAAAATCCAAGGACCTTTAGGAGCCCCAAAATGAGAAATTTTGAAGCATTTCTAAAACATCCTTAGAAGATTCGAAAGTGCATTTTTTATAGAATTTTTCTAAGATATTCAGAAGACCATTGACGTCGAGCTTTTAAGGAATTTTGGAACATATTGGAATTTTTAGGACATATTGTTTTTGAATGTTATAATCGAGGATTTTTAAGAAGCTTTTCAAGGACCCTTAAGGAACTCATAACGAAGAATTTGTAAGCATTTTTCAAAGATCCTTACAAGATTTGAAAGTGAAGCTTCCGATCTGTTTTTCAAGGAATCTTACAAGACTATTTGACGTCAAGTAATTTAAAATTTTTTTCAAGCATCCTTTGAAGACTTAAAACCGATTTTTTTAGAAATTTCCCCGCCATTCTCACAATTTCAAAGACAAGGAATTCTTAAGGAATTTTTTTAAAAATCCCTAAAAGTCTATAAAAAATGTATTTTTGTAGAATTTTTCAAGGATTTTTTCCACATGTCAGACGTCGTTCTCCAGTCCCTTAATTCCAATTTTGCATGACATTTATTATGGATCCCCTATAGTCTGTCTATAAATCTACAATTTTTAGGCATACCTCCAAAACTTCTTGGGTTATAAAACCAATGTTTCAAGGATGCGTGCAGGAGGAAACATTTTAAATTTTTAGCTACTTATAAACGATTTAAAATGTTAAGAAATTTTTCAAAAATCCTCTCATGACTATTAGTGTGAGGACTTCGAAAAGGATTTTTTTTTTGGAAATTTTTAAGGATCCTTGCAAATCTAAATTTTTAAAGATATTTTAAAAAGATTCCCCAAAGACTGTGAAAAAATGGATTTTTAGAAATGTTTTAAAAAAATTGGTACTTCAAAAAAGATTTTCCTCTGGACATTTCCACGGCCGAAACACGAATAAAACAAAAATAAACCCAAATTTTATAAAGTATTTTTAAAGGATCCCAAAAAGGTTGTGAAAATGCATTTTTTTAAGATTTTTTTTTAAAAACCCCTCTCACTTAATGTCGAAATTTCCAAGGATCCTTACATCCTTACAAGATTAACAGGGATTTTTAAGAAAATATTAAAAAAATGTTAGGGAATTGTTCAAAAATATATCTCGCAAGATCCTCTCTCTCTCCCGTGTTGGGATCCTTGAAAAATTGAGACCTAAAAAAGGGATTTTTTCTGAAAAAAATAATTTTTTCTCTGGAATTTTCCACGACCTATTACAAAACAAAAATAAACCTGAATTTTTTAAAAGGCTGCGTAAATGTATTTTTTAAAGATTTTTTTCTAAGCCGCCTCTCACTAAATGCCGCTTGGGCAGCCTTAAAGAATTTTGAGTTCAAAATCAGTTTTTTCTGGAAATTCCCAAGGATCCTTACATCCTTACAAAATTAACCGGAATTTTTAAGAAAATTTAAAATATACTGAAGGAACTGGAATTTTTCAAAAAAAAAATCTCTTGCGCTTGTAGTCGAGTTGGGATCCTTGAAAATTGAGACTTTAAAAAGGGATTTTTTTTTTGGAAAAAATTTTCAAACAGAAAATAAACCCAAAATTTTATAAGGTATTCTTAACGGATCCCAAACAGGCTGTGATTTTTTGTAAAACTCCTAATGCCGTTTAAGAATCCTTAAAGGAGTTGGAGTTCAAAGCCGATTTTTTTTTTTGCTTTTTTTTTTGGAAATTTCCAAAGGCCTCTAAATCCTTACAAAATTAACCTGGATTTGTAAGAAATTTTAAGAGGTACTAGAATGGCTGTAAAAATGGACTTTTTAAAAATCTCACACACATATTGTCGTGTTGGGATCCTTGAAGAATTGAGACTTCAAAAAGGGATTTTTCTGCAATTTTCCTGGGATCCTCACATGAACAGAAACCTATTCTTTTTTTTTTTTTTTGTTATTCTAAAAAAAATTCCTAGAAGACTTAAAAAATGAGTTTTTACGAAAATTTGTCATGGAATTTGAGTAGGTGAATTTTGAAGGATTTTTTTAAGAGACTGAAAATTTAAAATTATCCAGATTTTTTTTTTTTTTTTTTTTTTTTTTTTGAAGAATCTTTCCTTTTTTCAAAAATTTTAATTTTTTTTTTTTTTTGATTCTTCATTTTTCTTGTTTTAAAAATTGTTTTTATTATTAATAAATATTTGAAAATAATTTACAAAATACCATTAAACTTATGCCAGCTATCATGACGTACGATAGCTTGTATTGATGCCGCTGAGTACCTCGATTACAGGGCATCCCTCCCAAATGCGATTCACAGACACACACCTCCACCTCCGAACCGGATATGAATTTTTGACGATAGCAACCGGTTGTGGTATTGACCTTGGCACACATGTAGGTTATGTTTTGGACTGGAAAATAAGAGACATGAAAATCAGATAAAAATATGAGATTTGAAAATCCTAGATTTTGGAGATCATTCATCATCAGGATGAGATAAAAATCTGCCATAATTTTTTTTTTTTTTTTTTTTTTTTTTGAAAATGTATTGAATGAAAGCAAAAAAATGTCGAAGATTTGATCGAATTGGTCACCTTTGACACGTATTATGGCCTTTAAACGGCCAATGAAACCGTTACACGCCGTTCGGGTGTTGCTCTGCAGTATTTTGGCCCATTTCCGGCGAAGCGCTTGCCTGATGTGATCGACACTTTGGTATTTTTAGTGCCAACCTTGCTTTCCAAAATACTCCAGACACAAAAGTCCAACGGATTGGAATCTGGAGGTTTTGGGGTCCATTCTGCGCTGGAAATAAAGCGAGGAATCTAATTTTGCAACCATTCTTGGGCGGCGCGTGCTGATGAGTGCCATGGTGCTGATTCCTGTTGAAATGTCCAAGGTCTGCGGCCAAAAAGCTTTACGTGACCAAGGCTTTAATACATCCTCCAGAATATTTTCGCCATAATATTCGGCATTTATTCTGATGCCACGAACGATTAATACGAGCGGAGAGCTACCATTGGCCGGCCTGAGGCTTGAGTTCTGGTGGCCAACCGAGGGTGCACATTTTAAGCTGACCTCTTTGGCAAGTAAACACGATCGGATCATTTGGTTTGTTTACAAACTGCTGGACAACGAATGTTTTCTCATCGCAGAAAACCAATTTCGGCAGTTCACCACTTACGGCCAAGCGAAGCAACTCTTTAGCTCGTTTGAGTCTATTTTCTTTCTGTTGCGGTGTGGTTTCGGGCACTTTTTGGAATTTCAATGGCTCTACCCCGAGCTCATTTTTCAATATTTGCCGAATGGAATATTGTCATATGTTCAGCTCACGAGCCTAAGGGTTCTTATATGGATATTTTAAGGGTTTTTATGACATTGAAAGCCCTAAGGGAAGTCAGATTTACCTCAGGTCTTGGAATTTTTGGAATTTCAATGGCTTTACGCCGAGCTCATTTTTCAATATTTGGCGAATGGAATATTGCGATATGTTCTGCCCACTAGCCTAAGAGATCTTATATGGATATTTTAAGAGTTCTTTTATGACAGTGAAACCCTAAGGATACCTCTAAGCTCCCTTAGGGGTCTTGTGGCTCAATAGGCACATAGAAACATTAAAAATTCCCCATGAGGCTCCTACGACCGAATTTTTAATGTCTTTTAAGATTTATTTTTAAAAAATTTCTAACAGATAACATCGACATTTTTTACTTTGGAGCTTCTACGTCCTTCAAAAATTCCGTTGTTTAACAAAAATGTGTTTCCAAAAAGCCCAGGAGCCCATGAATGCCCAAAAAGTTCTCCAGGTACTGAAAGACTCCGATACAATTAAATTTCTCTTTCAAAATTACTCACCAGCCTTATTATGCAAATAGGTATACTTGGCACACAATTGCCCGGGGACCATGGCACAGGCTATGGCATTGGGGTTGTGTTTGTATTTCGCCCACAGATCCACAGTATCCGGAATATTATCATTATGGGTGGCCACAATGGGTCTACGACAGGGTATATTCTCATTATTGATACGCTCCTCACACGTCTCATTGCCAATGTAGTCTTTGGCCGGATAGGGACCAATCCAAAAGAAACGAAAACAATAGGGGACTAAGAAACGAAAAACAGAAAAGAAAAATAACAACAAAAAAATCCATCAAAATCCACAATAACCCTGAAGATGAGTTTTCAATTTACCCACAATTTGCTGAGATATTTGAAGTTCTCACAGAGGCCAAAATTCCCAACAGGAGCAAGAGCTTTAACATTTTTTATTTATTAATTTTATTTTATTTATTTTTTTTTTTTTTTTGTTTTTTGAGAACAAAAAATACAAAAAAATTGTTCTGTTTTACAATTTAATATCTTGTTTCCGATTCGTATCGGCAAACTAAATGACAAACCGTGATTGATTCCAATCTAAACGTCATTTACCATCTACTTCTGTGGTATCTTTTTCCCTCTCCCTTATCTTATCAGATCTCCAATATTGATGAGCTATCACATAGGCATTCATTTTCTCCTCTCTCTCTCTCTCTCGCTCTTTCGATATCTTAAAGATAAGAACAAAGTTTCGAAGAGTTGGTTTCTTTTTGTTACCGTTATCTTCATTGTTTGCCACACGAGAAGGTCAAATGGCATTGAGAATGACCTGAATGATTGGAGGGTACTTTAGCTGTCTATGCAGGGGAGAAGAGGCAGTATGGAGGCATAACCAACAATGGACGCAACTCTACACTCTCTTAAAAAAATATGACAAATTTGGATTTTGAAAAAATATCAAAAAAAATCAAGAAGCAGGACAGACCTGCATTTTTATAAAAAAAAATCAAGCACTTGGACAGATCTGGACATAAAAAAAAATATTTTAAGGACTTGGTTCAAACGTCGATTATTAAGAAAATATTTTATTTCAAGGTACATGGAAAAAAAGATTTTTTATAAAATATTTTTTCCGAGCCCAGCAGAGGTGGATTTTTGGAAAAAAAAGTTAGGAGAAAATGGGTTTTAAAAAAAATATTTTTTCCAAGCCCAGCAGATGTGGATTTTTGGAAAAAAAAACTGGGGGAAAATGGATTTAAAATAAAAATATTTTTTCCAAGACCAGCTGATGTGAATTTTTGAAAAAAAATCGAGGATAAGGTCAGATCTGGATTTTTATAAAAAAAATTTCAAACTCTTGGACAGACCTAGATTTAAAAAAAAAATCAAGTTCTTGGTCCTTGCAAACGTGGATTATTAAAAAAAAAATATATTTTATTTCAAGGCAAAATGGATTTTTAAAAGAATATTTTCTTTCAGGACCTGGGCGAAAGTGGATGAAAAGATTAAAAAAACTCGGATTACCCTGTTTTTACATTTTTAATCCACTTTCGCCCAGTTCATTAAATAAAATATTTGTTTAAATATTTTTTTCCAATTCCAAGCCCAGCTGAAGTGAATTTTTGAAAAAAATCGAGGACAAGGTCAGATCTGGATTTTTATAAAAAATAAAAACATTTTTGAAGCACTGGGACAGACCTAGATTCAAAAAAATCAAGCACCTGGTCCTTGCAAACGTGGATTATTGACAAAATATTTTATTTCAAGGTATAGGGAAAAATTTATTTTTAAATAAATATTTTCTTTCAGGACCTGGGCGAAAGTGGATTAAAAAATTAAAAAAAAAACTCGGAATACCCAGTTTTTACATTTTTAATCCACTTTCGCCCAGTTCTTTAAATAAAATATTTGTTTAAATATTTTTTTTTTTATTTTCTTCCAATTCCAAGCCCATCTAAAGTGAATTTTTGAAAAAAAATTCAATGACAAGGTCAGGTCTGGATTTTTATTAAAATAAAAAAATGCAAGCACTGGGATAGACCTGGATTTAAAAAAATCAAATACCTGGTCCTTGCAAACGTAGATTATTAACAAAATATTTTATTTCAAGGCAAAATGGATTTTTAAAAAAATATTTTCTTTCAGGACCTGGGCAAAAGTGGATTAAAAAATTAAAAAAAAACTCGGAATACCCAGTTTTTACATTTTTTAATCCACTTTCGACCAGGTCCTTACAGAAAATATTTTTAAGAAATATTTTTTTATTTTTATTTTTTCACCAAAGTGGATTATTGAAAAAGTGGATTTAAAAATAATTCTAGCACTTGGGCAGACCTGGATTTATAAAAAAACTATTTTAAAAATTTGGGCAAACGTGAAAAATATTTTATTTCAAGATCCAGGGCAAAATGGATTTTCGTAAAAATATTTTCTCCAGGGTCCATGGCAAAATGGATTTTCGAAAAATATTATTATTTTTTCAAGTATCAGAACAAACGTAGCACTTGGGCAGACCTTGATTTATAAAAAAAATAATTTCAAAGGACAAAGGGCAAAAAGGACTTTTAAAAAATATTTCATTGCAAGGTTCAGGGCCAAATGGATTTAAAAAAATTGTTTATTTCAAGGTCCATAGCAAAGTGGATTTTTAAAAAATATTTTATTTTAAGGTCCAGGGCAAAATGGATTTAAAAAATATATTATTTCAAGGTCCGAGGCAAAATGAATTTAAAAAAAAAATACTTTATATCAGGGTCCATGGCAAAATGGATTTTTCAAGTACCTGGACACGCGTGGATTTTTGAGAAACTTTTTTTTCCATGCTCCTGGGCATACCTGGATTTAAAAAAATAATATTTCAAGGACTTGGGGCAAACATGGATTTGTAGTATCTGTAGATGATCTGGTAGGATCGGCCGTATCCATAGGTGGGCTATAGACCCGAGGAGTCTCGAGGTCGGACAGAGAGAAACTATAGTAGCATCCCATCTGTCGTTAAGCTAGGGAGCCTCTGAAATGTTGGTAGGCCAGGTTGCAAGGGCATTCTTATGGCTGAGCTGGTGGACCAGGGAGTCGATAGCATAGAGATTCAGAGACTCTCTCTCTCTTTCTTATTATCTCTCTCTCTTTGGGGAGCTGGAGAACTAAGGAGTAGCTCTATAGATCAGGTGGGACAGAGATAGTCTCTATAGGCGTTATATTAGGCCAAGGAGGCTTTATTTGCGAGTTGAAGGGCCAAAGGGGGCTTTATGGGTAAATTGGCGATCCAGGGAGCCTTCCATCTGTCGGTGAGCCAGGGATTCTCTGAAATGTCGGTAGACCAGGTTGCAAGGAATTTTTATGGCCGAGCTGATAGACCAGGGGTTCGGAACCCTAGAGACCCAGAGACTCGCTCTCTTTCTTATTCTCTCTCTCTCTCTCTCTCTGTGGTGAGCTGGAGAGCTAAGGAGTAACTCTATAGATCAGCTGGGACAGAGAGAGTCTCTATAGGCATGATGTTAGGCCAATGCAGCTCTATTTGCGGGTTGAAGGGCCAAAGTGGGCTTTATGGGTAAATTGGCGATCCAGGGAGTCTCCCATCTGTCGTTGAGCCAGGGAGCCACTGAAATGTTGGTATAGCAGGTTGCAATGGAATTTTTATGGCCGATCTGAGGGACCTGGAAGTCGATAGCATAGAAATCCAAAGACTCTCTCTCTCTCTCTGGGGAGATGGAGAGCTAAGGAGGAGCTTTATATACCGGCTGGGACAGAGATAGAGTCTCTATAGGCGTGATGTTAGGCCAATTAGGCCTATTTGAGAATTGAAGGGCCAAATAGGGTTTTATGGGAAATTGGCGATCCAGGGAGTCTCCCATCTGTCGGTGAGCTAGGGAGCCTCTGAAATGTCGGTAAACCAGGTTGCAAGGCATTTTTATGGTCGAGCCGGTGGACCAGTAGGTCGACAGCCTAGAAACCCAGAGACTCTCTCTCTCTGGGAAGCTAGAGAGCTAAGAAATAGTTCTATAGATCAGCTGGGACAGAGAGATTCTCTATAGACGTGATGTTAGGCCAATGAGACTCTATTTGAGAGCTGATAGGGCCAAGGGGGTGTTATGGGAGAGTTGGCGATCGAATGAGTCTTCCATCTGTCGGTAAGTCAGGAATCGTCTGAAATGTCGGTAGGCCAGGTTGAAAGGGAATATTTATGTCCGAGCTGTTGGACCAGGGAGTCGATAGCATAGAGATTCAGAGACTCTCTCTCTCTCTCTGGGGAGATGGAGAGCTAAGGAGGAGCTCTATAGAGGAGGAGCTCTATCGTACCATTTTGTACCTCTTTGTACTTTTTTATACACTTGGTGCCATTTAAGTACGAAATTCATAAAATCTCTCTGAATCTCACTTCCCATACACCCCATACGAAGAGCTGCCCCAAACCAACTTTCTAATTTCTTGCCTCTGTCAGTTGTCTCAAAATAGTGCCTTTTAGTACTTTTCGTAACCTTAAAGTACAAATTTCCAAAAAAGAAATCCCGCCTTACACCACCTTTAAAAAAACATAGATTCCTTACTTCATCCTCGAATAAAAATATCAGATTTTTTAAAAATAACCTGCTTTGATGTTTTCTTAATTTTCTCCCAATTCCAAAATGACTTGCCAATTTTCCGCCAAACCTTAAGACGTCTAAATTTTCTATGCCACTCATTTTTCTTCGAATTCTCCTGAACTATTTTCTGATGAATGAGATTTTGAAAAAGTTTAGACTTTTTAAAATTCTTTGCATCATTTTTTCATTTCCGTTCAATGACAAAGCCCTGCAATCATAGTTAACCTCAGGATTTTTAAGAAAAGAAATAGTAACTAAACTATTCTCCCTATTTACCCCACCCCTCCTCCGCTTTTCCAGTGTGAGAGAAAAAAACTCTGTCTCATCACAGCGGAAATTATGTTAACCAGGAAAATGTCATCAATATTTTTTCTTCCACATCCACATCCATCCTCAATGGCTGGGCTGCGGAAGGGTGTTTGGCCAACAACAAAATGCACTGCTTGACTGGCAAGTGTCACTGCATGGCTGCATGGATGTGTGTGGGGTGCTGGGAGAATTATGATCCACACCTCTTCTCTTCAAATGATACTTTTCTTTAACTCGGTATTTCCTTTGTTTCCGAAGATGAAAAACGAAAGAAAAACCAAATCCACTTGATCTCAAGTGACACACTCTCAAGTGAGGAAGTACAGAAGTTTGCATTCATCCGCCAACCCACAAATCCGAATCCGTCCATATGACAGGTGATACGAGGATAACGGACATGGAAGTGTGGCAAACGCGGGGGGCAGAAAAAAGTGTTAAAAAGCCAAACCATCGCATGATTGATCTTTTATTGACACAAATATCATTACCTCAAGAAGCGGTGATTGTGGAAATAATGTGTCAGGATGGCAGTGCCATAACATACACCAAGAAAAAAGGAAAGGAGAGAGG